GATAAAAACAGTTTAATGCACCAAGCTGCTAATCAGTGTGGCTTTTGTGAAAAAGATGAGGAGAGATATGCTTATCTACACACCCCACAAGAAGATTCTCTGATGTCAAACACTGATAATAGCCAGAAACGGTAAAATATAAAAATTCTCCCAGTGAGAAGAGCCCTGAAAATGTGTGTTATTTATACAACAGTCTGGTGAACATACACAGAGGGAGTACCATGTATAGGACTTAGCCTAATGCTACTCTGCACAGACTACTGAGGTTTAGATGCTGATGTGACTATGATGTCAGCATTAAAACCATCCTTTCACAGCATTTGATTAAGTGAAGGTCAGCCAAAGGTGTGCTCTCTCTATATATCTATTTTGGTTAGCCTTCATCATTAAGACCATCTTTCCAACAGAAAGCATCACTCCACATATAACAACATTTTGTTCAACTGTTTGAGAACTGGATACATAGATTAGCTTTTTTTGGCTTGGGTCCTTCATTACACTAGCAATCAAATAAATATCAAAAATTCCCAAGATGATAAAGGAACCATTATGCCTCGGATATACACATGTAACCTAAGGGCCCATAGAATCAAAGAGTGCTAATATAGACAAAATAGATCCCACATCAATCTGACACAAATTAGATCTGAATGAATGTCTCTTTGTTTTAAAGGATATTTAAAACCCCATTGGGTGGAAGGTGAGCTCAGTTTTAAAAAATGTCGCGGAATCTTTTCCAAAGAAGCTTTCCTGTATTAAACTAATATGTTGTATTTCAATTATGTTTTAACAATATTTTGAGTCCTATTTCAGATGCCATCAAAGTAATTAAACCCTGTTTTTTATCATAGGAACGCTTAGCTGTATTTGATATTTTAGATTTCTTGTTTCAGCAATTTTAAAATCTTTTAATGATCAGTTTTTCCCCCTACATTAAAAAAAATCCTTAAAGCACAACAAAACAAAACAAAAAATGCCTCCTACAATAACAAATAAGTGCATAACACTCTCCATCCTATATTACCCCTCCTCCCCGCAACTGCAACCTCAGTACACAGACCAAAGATACTGGGAATAAGCTAAAAATGTGGTTTGCCCCCATTCTAACTAGGGGATGGAAAGGAAAGGAAAGGAAGGAGATATAGGTCCAGGCAGTATAAACATGTGACTAAAAACAAATTTGAAGGCAGTTTTAAGGCTAGTGTCTCATTTGATTGAGATTCAGACTGCCTTCAAAGTTAGCGAATGTTACTTGCATCTAAATCCCTCTGCAAACCTTAAGGGGGAAGCAATCATAAGTAAAAGAGGTTATAAAATTATAGTAGAGGATGAATTCCTAATAGGCCTTTGAATCCAACCCCTGCAAGGGCAGAAGGCAGAAGATACCAGTTTAAACATAAAGCGCTATATCCTTAGCTGACATAAATTGACATAAGTCCACTGAGCCTGTTTGCAGTATTACATTATATTGAATTATTTTAAGAGTGCGTAACAGGAAGGATCACACCTGGTATTACATGAGGGATCCCTCAAGGAAGGCGTAAACATTCAGATTGTGAATCTGATTAACTATAAATTCATTCATTCAGTTTCAGCATTTTGAACAAGTTTATGGAAACATTCACTTTACTTCTCAATATATGTTTCTCTTGTCATGATAATGTTTGATAGATGGTCTCTAAGAAGGGGCAATTTGCCATATTTGTCATTTACATTTTTCTGAATGTAATACATTTAGGCTAATTTATACTTCTGTTATTGCACATGTATAATGTAGGCAAAGAAACTTGGAAAAAGATAGATTTTGATACAGCAAACAATTATGGAATAACCTGTCCACTGGGAAAACTTGTTCCTAGGCTCAGTCAGTTAATAGATGGCTTATTCATTGAATCATGAAGGTCTATATATCCCTTTATACATTTTTTATCCAGGGTAACTTAATTATGGATGTGCTTATTATCTAGATAAATGTCTGTTCACTTTGGTGTCCATGGCAGTTTTGCTTGAATAAAGAATGTGAGATCAGACTATTATTTGAAAGAATTCATATATAAAAGATACTGGTAATTATTTCCATTAATAATAATAAATACAATGTTCACCAGAAAACGGTGCACCGGCTCCTTCAACTTATACTGGCTCAACTTTGCTTACCGTGCTCAGTCTGATGTGGCTCATTATGAAGCCAATCTTTAAAGAAAATGAAGCATTTAAAATGTTTTTGCAGATTTGAGTACAGAAGGCTTTGAAACTAGTATTCAACCAACAGGAAAAAAGCTCTCCTTCTTTAAACACTGGGTTTTCCTCAAAGACTTATCCCCAAAATTTTCAAATTCAACTAACATTTTCAAATGGGCACAGCTGGACAGACTGAGTTAAATGCTGCTCTGTAGGTGTTAAGATTTTAGGGGTCCTAAAGACAAGATTATATTTTAAGGGAAATTACAAAGACATAAATTTAAAGTCCTTACTGTTTCTAACTAGCAGCATAATTACTTCTTATATCACCAAATAATTTATATCCAGGGTGTCATATATGCGGCCCGCATGCCAATTCCAACTCATGGGGCTCACAGAGGAGCTGGGAATTCAGGGGTAGGGTGGGGATGGGGCCTGCCAATGAAATACAGGGCATGGAGCCCCAGTAATCATTATTGTTGATGGTAGAGGGGGCAAGTAACAGCCAAGTTAACCCCTGCACTGCCCCTACTTCCAGGTCCAGATGTAGCCTGGGAGGCTCGTTGTGGTCTGGATCTGGATTGTGTGGAGCCCCATGGTCTGGATCTAGCCATGGGATGCAAGTGAGTTTGACATGCTTAGTTTATATGAAAAATATTCTAGAAATAATATTGCCATGTGATAGGTAGAGCTACCATGGAACTTAATTCTAAATTCTATCAGCATTTCTCTGGGTTAGATGACACAGAACCAACCCCACAGTATACTTCCAGGATGTATGTCTATATTACTTTGCAAAAAGAAGTCATTCAGGTTTCAAAATCATGAACTCAGAAAGTAAGAAATGTGAGAATGAAGGTTGCCTGTGCAACTTAAATTCTGTTTCTTTCTATGGAAGATCTGACACATTGATGTCACCACTTTACCCCAAGTCTTTAATTCCATGATCACAGATTATTATTTTTTTCCGCCTCTTGGTATTTTCATGTGAAAATGGCTCATGGCCTTGAGCCATTTCGTTTGCATCTGGAGGTTTGAGCCTCTGCTTCACAGTGATTCAGTGGGAGTCTGTGAGGCTACGCTGAATGTATAGTACAGCACTCAAAAGTCAAAGAAGAAATTTTACAAAATGTCAGCACACCTAAAAATTACACCTTATAATATGACTGAAATTATATGACTTTTCCTAAGGCCAACAAAAGGCAGCACTCTGATCTAAGGCACTCTGTCTTGAACTCCTTTCTTCTCCCACCCCAAATTTCTAGATCTTCCTCCAGAGCCCAGAGACATTAAAGTTCTTCAAAATGTCTAGAGAAAAAAAAAAGTGTAAATGTTGGCAACATTTTCTCTCTAACCTTTCAGAAACATCTGCCTTATTCTCTTATTCTGCAAATTTCTGATAAAGTTTGATCCGTGACAAACCCCTCCACAATGCATAAAATATATCCAAAGGGTAGTTCAGCCATGGTAGCTGAACCACAGGGAATACAGACACGTCATGGGAAATGTAGTTTAGAGAGTGAGTTGGGCCACAGGAAGGAATGAGTTGGAGGCTCCCAAACTACATGTCCTCTGAGGCTCTGCAGCCCAGAATGTTGTGAAACTAGCCAGAAACATAACTCTATGAATCAGTATGTTAAGCCAAAATATTTTGATGTCAGTCAATTTGACCCGTAATGAAATGCTCCATTTCAGTTTTCCACAGAGAAAGCCGAAATCTTTTTTTATAGATCCTGTAATTTCTATTGAAAAAATATTTTGACAGAAAGTTGCTATCAGCTTCTGTATGCATTTTATGGCATTCCCTTTCACTCAGTTGTGATCTGACACTAGTTTAAAACTAATTTACCCTTCATGGGGCTACCTATAATTGTATCCCCTTGTAAAAGAATCATTGTTACTTTGTTTCATATATACCTGCTCAAATATTGAGCATTATATTTACTTACATATATTTGATTAATTAAAAAAACACGCTTGTTTTAGAATTTCTTATAAGCTTATTCTATGTGTAAGTGTATTGTAAATATGTCTGTAATTCATACATAATGAATATGTTTGAGTAACTGAAATAGAGGCTAAAACAAGAAAGAAATGAATGATCGTATGTCTCAAAGAGTCTGCGTTCCAGGCTTACAAGTGCAAAGCAATAAAGGCTGGACTGGGAAACTCAGTTACATTTAAAATAACTGTTTATAATCCTTCAAATATTTTTTACAAATCCAGCTCTAAAATAGTTAGAGCATAATTGATTTTAATAATCCTAAACTGATCTAAGCATCTCCTACTCAAGCCTTAATAATTAACCCTACCAGGTCACAGCCCTCCTAGATTTACCATATAAATACTGTTAATCTCAGAGAATATTCTCTATATAAACATACAGCAAGAATAGAATAGTCTCAAAACAGCAGCTATGCATTTTGATCTATACAAAGAGATAGCACTTTTTTCAAAAGCTGCTCGCTTAATCTGATTAACCCTTTTCTTCCTTAAGTGTAATAAGGACATCATCTAAAATTAAGCTCAGCTGTGTTTGATTTTTAATCAGCTGCTGTTAAATGCAAGGAGAAACTTTGATATGGTGGAGCAGGATCATTCACAAAAGAAAACACACTGTATCTTCATAAGGAGAAACCTGTAAATGAAGACTTGATTTTTGTTCTTGAAAACGGCTGAGTTATATTTAAATGTACACTCCAGTCAATAACATTCTTGTTATTAAATAAAAGCACAAATTAGACAAAAAAGAAACATGCCAAACTGCTGTGAACCCACAGAGACGGTGCAGTTGACGTGTACACCTTGTTTCTTCCTACCTTATATATATTGATAGGAATATCAATGACGATATAGATAAGGTCTCCTAGTGCCAGGCTAGCTATCAGTGCATTCGGGCCATTCCTCATACACTTGTTCTGATAAATGATCCTCAGGAGTGTTGCATTTCCAACCAATCCAACGATGAAAATAGCACAACTTATCACTGTGTTAATGTATTTAAAAGTGTTAGCAATTCTCGTCTGTTGGCTGCAAGGGTAAGTTTTGTTGACCAGCATGGGTCTGCTGGTAGTAAGAAGTAGGTTAGCTTCTGTTCTGGAGTAGATGGTGAAAGTACTCAGATTGGTGTAGTATCTATCAGAGCTGTCACTGAGGACAAATCCTGGTACCAGAAGCATCAAGGAAACCCATAAGCAAAAAGCTCCCATCCTGAAGCCTTGAATTGCAAGCAAATTGTGTGAAACAGCTCTTTCAATATTTTACTGTGATCCTTCTCACTTCTTTACCTATATGGAGAAATAATACAAAAAAACCCCATAAGTAAAACACGGGTCAACACAATAGGAGTAGTACTAAAAACAAGCATACGGTTTCTTATTTGGCAAGAAATATGTGGTTTTTATATCAGCTGAGCTGTTTTGACAAAATCAGATAGATAACCTTTGGCACGTGATGACTTGTGCTAAAAAGATCTTGCCATGCCATGAAAATGCGCAGGAGTACTTGTCTATGTGTGGAATAAAACATTCCAGACAACAAGTGGCAGATAAAAGTTGTGTCACAAGACTTGGGCTTGCAAGAAAAGTGTGTTAGGAAAAGGATATCAGAGAAGCTTCCCTGAATGATATTTCAGTTCCTAGAAAATTTAAGCAAATTTCCCTATATGAGTTCAGCTAAATAGCGAAATTGCAACCTTTCATCATTAAAAGTATTTAGTAAAAGTATTAAGACAGAAAGTTCAAATCCTCTCCATTATTTTGAGGTAGATTCAAAGTCCAAAGACAGCAGAAAGATTCCTACTGACTTCAGTAAACTTTGGATCAAATCCTTTAAAGCTTTTCCATTTCCTATACAGCTCAGTAGGCTCTACCTATAGGATCAATATATCCTTCATCTTCCATAATTCCCTTGGAGTTCATATTTAGATTTTAGCTATAGTTAAGTCTGTTACGTGTAAATACAAGTGATTTTATGTGTTCACTGTACACAGTTTAGCCTGGTAAGGAATAATCCATGAAATCTGCTGCTTGTAGAGGGAACATCAGCAGCATGGTCATCCCCCACAGCAAGCGCAAGTTTGAGTAAAAGAAAAGTCTACAGTCTATTTCCTGAAGCAATGGATGATTATCACTATTACAAATACTGCACTGCGGTTCAGGCCAGATGTCACTTGTGGGATCCACATCAAAAGTAGTATACATTCTCACGTCCCAAAGATTCCTCCTCCATCCCTCCTGCTCAGTCTGACAATTTCTTACAACATCAAGGGCAGTCTTGGCCACACCGGAAAATTCAAGTCTAGAATTGCAATACTGTAAATGAAGGAACTGGAAGATTATTTTTAAACTAATGAATCTTATGGTATATAGAGATTCCTCCCCAACTTTTTTTGCCATGGGGTTATTAAAAATAAAATAACAATGTAGAATTCACAACGGAAACTGACAGAGAATTCACTAACATTGGTGCCTCAGGCACATTTGTAATACTTGCATTTAATTTTATGAAACTTTTTCCATGGTAGCATATGGTATGTAAAGTTCCCTGACTGCATGATAGTAGTATACACAGTTCTGTAGCGCATGCAGTCTCTCTCTCTCTCTAATGTAGTGTATAGAACATATGAATTCCTAAGTTATCTCCATATGCTTGCTAGTCTGATTTCTGAATCACTGAAGAAGCCCTGTAAACTAAAGTCAGAATCTTGCCCATTGCATCAGCCTGTGCTTATGATCTTAAAATCTAAAGAACTAAATAGCAGCCTTGGATTTATTTTTTTATAATACCTGTTATATTGGTAACTCAGGGCCATTAAAAATATTGTACATTACTTAAATTGTTTTTGACTTAGGGGTCTAAATCATTTCATAAATATCAGTTACACTTCCCAATGCTCCTTGTCAGACAACTTTTATTATTTATTATTACAAGGTTTACAAATGGGTAACACTGAGTCACTGAGAGTTTAAGTGAAGAGAATCAAGTTCATACTTGCCCAAGTGAATCCGCAGTAGAGCCAGACTAAACTCCAGTTTTCCTAACACCCAGACTCATGCTCTAATCACATTGGTCTCCCTGTTTTATGAAACTTTTCTGCGGACGCTCAAAGGATGACAACCCCTATGAATATGATGTCAGAGGTAGCAAGAACATGCAAACAGAGAACCACATTCTCAGACACTTTCCCAACAAGCTAAACAAACCAGAAAACTCCCCCCTTGTGATCATTTCCAAGAACACTTTTATATGGATTCACTGACATGTCCTGCCACTGCTTATGCTCAGCGTGTCTGTATGCATACACAGTAGCAGCGTGCATGCGCACACATCTCTGCAGGAATCTGGAGTAAAACTTGGCTTAACTGTCCTTAATAGATAATACAAAGGCAAAGCATACATGTGAGCTATAGTATCTGTGGGATTATTTCAGACTCGCAGGCCACAAGCAGTAAACCAGAAGAACGTTAAGAACTGCTATCAAGACTCAGATTGTAGGTCCATCCTGCCCAGTCTCTTAGTGGGAGAGGAGCAGGGGAAAAATTGTGGATGCTGAAAGGCAGAGTGGACTGGGTCTGAGCAGGGGGTTTCCCCAGCTCCTCTCCCACTGGCAGCCCTGGCACACCTGTGTAACATGCTACTGGCACCCTGAGACCCTGGGAGAGCTGAGAGCACAACTCCTCACCTATTAGCAGCGGCTCTCCTGCCTGGAGTAGGGAAGCCAGAAACACCTAAGAAGACTCTTCCGATGCCTGAAGAACGGTGTTTGTGCCCAAAAGCTTGCAAAGAACAATTTTTCCAACTATTGAGTTGGTCTAATAAAAGAGATCACCTCTACCCAGACACCTTGCTGGGAACATTTGATCTTAGCAGTTTTCCTGCTCAGAGCCGTCGGGGTTGGACTCGATGATCTTTCCAGGTCCCGTCCAGCTCACGTCTATGATTTCTGGCAGACCAGGTGCTTTGGTTCAATCTATCTTTTACCAGACCAACTCAAATAGTTGGAAACCATTCTTTTTTGCAAACTTGCGGGTAGGAACGAACACCCTTCGCCCGGCTGCGGAAGCGTCTGCAGGTGGTCTGCGCTCTTCCTAGGAGCGGTAAAGCAGCTGGAGACATGCAAGAAAGCCAGAAATGTCAGTGGAGGTGGTCAGTAGGTGAGAGCCTGGGATCCCCAAAGACCTCCAGAAAGCAAAGAGCAGCCTGCTGTTCAATGGAGAAGCCCCTAAGGGAGATGTCAAGCAGGATTTCAACAAACTTGGGGTTTGCAAAGCGAGGGGGGGAGGCCAGACCCGGCTCCGTGGCATTGGGATGCCCCCCACCCTCGCTTGCAGCACCGGCCAACGTGCCTCTCCCAGCCCGCGCCTGCCCACCGGCCCCCTGGCCCGCGCTGCGCCCCCAAACCCTACCAGGCGGCTCCCCCCGGGAGCACTTGCAAGCCGCTCGGGTCCAGGCTGGATATCCGGGCCAGGCTCAGCAGATCCTCCCGTCTCCGCCGGGCTGGGTGGGATCAGGAAATCTCCACCTCCGCTAGATGAGCACAGGGAAGAAAGAGCCGGAGCGGAGCGTCTGCCCCCTCCCCCAAACCACACCAGGCTCCAGCCCACAGGGAGCCCCAGCCTCCGTTCAAACGCAGAGGTCTCCTCCCGGGCGCAAGGGAGCACAGCCCTCCTTAACTGCTTCCGCCCTGGTGTGCCGCTCACCGGCGTCCGCGCGCGGCCCGGGCTGCTCCACACGCAGCGCCCGCTGCTCGGGGCCGCGCTGGAGGCGGGAGGCAGAGCAGGGAAGGCACGGGGGCTGCAAGACATCAGTAACTTCAGCCCTCAAAGTTGTCTCTTTTTTTGGGTTTTGTCCAAAAGAAACTTTTGGAAGGATGGAAAAGCCTTTTGAGCCTCGGGCAGACGTCTCCATGGCTCCACATGGTCTTCGCGGGGGGGGGCAGATCTAGGCTTTTTGACAAGAGGCGTGCAGATGGTGGGGGGCATCCTCACGTGTAATGCGACATGCTAAGTGACAGGGGTGTCGGTCCATTACACACGTTACAGACATGTTCGCACTTACACACGTTAGGTTAGAAGCTTTACTGATATGCTAGGGCTGTATTGTTCGGTTTAAGAGCCCGGGAAAAACAAATATGGAATAGGCACTGATTTGCTGGATTATATATTAAGTTCCCCCAAATCAGGGCTGTGTTACTCAGTTTAAGATCCTGGCAAAAACAAATACTGGAATGTGCACTGATTTGCTAGATTGTATATTAAGTTCAAAAAACATAACAACCTAGGCAAAAATAGTCAAAGGGTGTTGTGTCGGGTAGTTGTTTTCGAAGTGTAGGTGGGGCAGGAATCAAAGGGGGGGTGCGACTGCTGGATCTGCCCCGGTTGTAGCCTATTTCCAGTTGCTACGAATCATTAAGAAAACAGCAAAATGATGTTTTATTATATTCTCATTTTTCCTTACATTACTCCTCCCTCCCTGTGAACAATTTCTTGTGTGAGTGGTAGGCGGTACAGTGCTATGGTGCACTTGTCACTAGAAGGATTTGGGGTGTGAGAGATTATCAAAGGGACGGGGCACCCATGAGAAGTATGGGTGTCACCCTCTTCAGATGTGACCCTTTCTGCTGAAAGGGTGTAAAAATGGTCACAAACCATTTTCTGGGATGAGAGGAAATACTGTTAGAATCACAGAAAATTAGGGTTGAAAGGGACCTCAGGAGGTCATCGGCTTAAAGCAGGACCAGCCCCAGATATACCACCCCAGCCGAGGGTATGTCTACCTGGGCCTTAAAAACCTCCAAGGACGGAGATTCCACAGCCTTTATGGGTAGCCTGCTTCCCATGCTTTACTACTGTCCTCAGGAGAAAGTTTTTCCTAATATCTAACCTAAAGTTCCCTTGCAACTTCAGACCACGGCTCCTCGTTCTGTTTTCCACCACTACTGAGAACAGTCAGCATGGATTCACCAAGGGCAAGTCATGTTTGACCAACCTGATTGTTATGATGAGATGACTGGTTCTGTGGATGTGGGGAGAGCAGTGGATCTGATATACCTTGACTTTAGCAAGGCTTTCGATATGGTCTCCTACAATATTTTTGCAAGCAAGCTAAGAAAACACGGGTTGGTTGGATGAATGGACTGTAAGGTAGATAGAAAACTGGTGGGATTGTCAGGCTCAAAGGGTAGTAATCAATGGGTCAGTATCTAGTTGGCAGCCAGTATGAAGTGGAGTGCCCCAGGGGTCAGTCCTGAGGCCTGGTTTGTTCAATATTTTCATCAACGACCTGAAAGATAGGAAGAGTGTCCCCTCAGAAAATTGCAGATGATACCACGCTGGGGAGAGAAGTAGATATGCTGGAGGTTAGGGCTAGGATTCAGAGAGGCCTAGACAAACTGGAGGATTGGACCAAAAAAAATCTCATGAGGTTCAGTAAGGACAAGTGCAAAGTCCTGCATTTAGGATGGAACAATCCCATGCACCAGTACAGGCTGTGAGGTGACTGGCTGGGCAGCAGCTCTACAGAAAAGGACCTGGGCGCTACGATGGACAGTAAGCTGAATATGAGCCAACAGTGTGCCCTTGTTGAAAAGCAGGCTAATGACATACTGGGCTGCATTAGTAGGAGCATTGCCAGCAGGTCAAGGGAAGTGATTATTCCCCTCTGTTCTGCATTGGTGAGGCCACATCTGGAGTACTGTGTCCAGTTTTGCTCTCCCCTCCCCCTCCCACTAGAGAAAGGACTTTGACAAATTGGAGAGAGTCCAGTAGAGGGCAATGAAAATGGTTAGTGGGTTAGGGCACATGACTTATGAGACAGGCTGGGGGAACTGGAGAAGAGAAGACTGAGAGGGAATTTAATAGCAACCAGCAGCTACTTAAAGGGTGGTTCCAGAAAGGATGGAATAACCTTCTTCTCTGCCAAGTGCTTAGAAAGGGATTCCTTGAGGACCTGTTCCATGGTTTTTCCAGGGACTGAGGTGAAGCTGACTGGTCATAGTTCCCTGGATCCACCTTCTTCCCATTCTTAAGGATGGGCACTATATTGGCCCTTTTCCAATCATCCAGAACCTCTCCCAATTGTCATGCATTTTCAAAGACAATGGCCAGCGGCTCTGCAATTACATCAGCCAACTCCCTGAGGTGCATCATGTCTGTCCCCATGAACTCCATCTTTTCTAAATAGCTCTTAACCTGTTCTTTCACCACTGTTGGCTGCTCACCTCTGGCCCAAACTGTGCTGCTAGGTGCAGTAGTCTGGGAGCTGACATTGCTTGTGAAGACTGAGGTGAAAAAAACATTGAGTACTTTAGTTTTTTCTTCCTCATCTATCACTAGGTTGTCCTCCCCTCCCCCGCCATTCAATAAGGGACTCATACTTTCCCTGATCTTCCTCTTATTGTAGCAACCCTTCTTGGTACCCTTCATGTCTTTTGGTAGTTGCAACTCGTATTGTGTTTTGGCCTTCCTGATTTTATCCTTACAAGCCCAAGCATCTTATTTTACTGTTATCTCACTGGTAGTGAGGTCCACAGTGCTAAGTCAAAAGAATCCTGGTTCCTTGGGCACAGTGAGTGTTTTGACTAGGATCATTAATAGATTAATGTAGTCCAAAACTATGGGTACGCTCTGACCCAGATTCCTCAGTGACCTCAGGTAGTTGGTGGGGTAGGAGCAAGAGGGCCACTTCTTTCTTAGAGACCTAGAAGTAGTGCCATGAGGTCCCTTTCCCACACCCCAGAAGTGTCAGCAGGGTTTCCTGTCTATCTGGGAACAAAGCCCTCTCTTACTCAGAGGGGCAAAGGTGAAGCTGAGGAACTTACATGTAACTAACCCGAATATCAGCAGCTGCAGGATGTCTAATTCAGTGTTTCTCAATTAAGGTGCCATGACACCCTTTTTGGGGTGGTGTGACATAGACGCCACTGTTGCTGACACTGGTGCTGCAACTGAGTAGAACTTCCCCCTATGCCTCGTGCAGAGTCAGACCTGGAAGAGCTGTAGCAAGAGTACGCACTCCTGCCTGCAGGAAGGCTGTGGCTGCCCTGTGCACCTGTTTCTGGGAGGAGGGTGCAGGGTCAGACCAGAAAGTGCTGCAGCCAACTGAGTGCTCCTGCTTCCTTTAGGTTTATCAAACAACCCTCAGGGAGTTAGGAGTGCATTCTCTTGCCTCAGCCCTCCTGGGCACATGGGACACAAGGCACATGGGGCAGTTCCACCTGGCCGCAACAGCAGCAGTAGCAGGACACTGGTTGAGAACCACAGAGATAATCTGAGGCAACACAACAATAGTTTTCAATCAGGAGTGCCACGAACTTCAAAAAAGTTATAGAGAGGTGCTCTGAGCCTAAAAAGGTTGAGAACCACTGGTGTAATTGGATGGGTGAAAAGGGCCCACTGCATACTTTGACTCCAGCTGTGCATGCATTTAGTGCACCACAGGAGTACTGTCAATAAAGTCTCTCATCTTTCCCAAGCAGGCAGGCTTGGAGTTAATATCCCGTTGCTGTTATTAGAGCTATTGTTTCAGGCTTCCTGCAAATGCAGGCAAATCTGATTATCTCATTTAAACCTGATTTATGTTCCAAAGTCCATCTTGCAAACTACAAGAGTTGGAAACTTTTTATTTCAAAATGAAAGTCAAATCCCAATGTCATGCATTATGCATGACTTCTGGTACCAAGGTCTAGGCAAAGACCTATGGTGTGAATGCCATAAGCTAGCCCTGGCTTAGATCATTTGATTTTTAGAGGCTCTGGCTAAAGTGTTTTATGATTCTTATTTCAAGCACTGAATTTTCCCCTCCCAAGTTAGTAATGTCATAGAACTTATTTAAATGATGATTTGTTAAAAGTAGATTGTCAGAAATATGCAGTCAGCCTTAGATGCTGAGAAGGCATTCGTTAGTATTCTTTGAACTTGTACTTTTAACACTAAAAAGATATTTATAATCATTTTATAATTGCTGCTCACTGTGTGTATTCTTTTGTTTGAACATTCCCTGATGAGGCATCTTCTCCTTAAATATGTGCGCCATGCAAGGCTGTCCTTTTACCTCTTAGGTCTCTCCAAAGAATGAACTGCATTAGTTTACAGGGCTTCTTCAGTGATTCAGAACATTATAACTCACAATAACATGTCATTATTCTCTGTGCAAATGACTTCCTATTATATTTCAGTGAAAGACAAGCTTCCATTCTGCACTTCAAATAATTTTTTAAGAGGTAAAAGTACATATGATTTTCAGAGTTATCGGCAAACTTCAACAGTGCTATACTTTTTTAATACTGATCACCTCCCCCACCCCCTGAAGGATTTCAGATATAAGAGTAGGAAAAAAATCATTCAATTGGACTAAACTAGGAAAGATACACCTGAAGCCCTTTATAGAAAGTTGACATCAAGACTTTCAAGAATGGCATAACTTAGCATGTTCTGTATTTGGATGAGTCACCCTGATTTAAATGAATGTTACCCAGGTGGTGAATTATCCATGTAAGGTACAATCCCTGTTCCACAGTTAAGGAGCTAGTGGGCTCAGCTGAGTTCTAGCTGACATCCACTGACCAGTCCAATGGCCTGACTGGCC